AAAATATACCAATTGTGCTTGATTAAAGATCCTCTCTACTCATGCTCAATTCTAAGAGAAAATTGTGTGTGAAAGATGTCCTTCACCTGTCATGTGGGAGCACAAATTTTCTATTCATTAGGAAAGTACAATACGTACATATATATGGGGAGATACTTGTACCAACTCAGTTTCACAGTGAAAACTGCAGGAATTTGAAACCGACCCTGTGAAACACACTTAGGAATAAGACAAAGTTTATCACTCTCAACACACTCCCTTGGTGCTAGATGAAAGAAAATCTATCCAAATGCTAATATCTGAGAGATAATTGTGTGTGAATGCATTCCTTCATGTAGCTTGATGGCAAAACAAAGTTTCTTTCAGTTGGAAAGCACAGTACGTACATATATATGGGGAAGAACAAGTAAAAAATTCGGGTTTATGGTGAAATTTGCAGGAACTTCAAATGGGCTTTAGGAAGAAGACTGGGAACCCAGAGTAAGTGTGTCTACTGCATCAAGTTCCAATTGTGCTAGATAAAAGATCGCCTCTCCATATGCTTAAATCTGAGAGATAAGTGTGTGTGAAAGCCGTCCTTCACCTAGCTTGTAAAGATCACAGTTTTTTTTCGTAGGAAAGAACCATACCTACATAAATACGGGTAGATTCAAGCTCCAAATTGGTTTTACAATGAAAACTGCAGGGAATGGAAAATGGCAGTAGGAAACAAACTGGGAAGTCAGAGTAAATGTTTCTCCTGACAACCGTTCCCTTTATGCCAAAAGAATGAACATCTGTCCACATGCTCATTTCTGAGACGTAACTCTTTGTGAAATCCGTCCTTCACCTTGCATGTTAGGATCTAAAAGTTCCTTTTCATTTGGAAACAGCAATCCTTTCATTTATATCGGGAGGTACTACCTCCAAATCGCTTTTACAGTGAAAACTACAGGATTTCAAAACAGAACTATTAAACAGACTAGGAACACATTAATTGTTCCTCTGGCAAACAGTTCCATTTTTGCTCGATGTACGAACATATCTCCACATGTTAATTTCTGAGAGATTAGTTTGTGTGAAAGCCGTCCTACACGCTGCTTGTTGGCAAAACAAAGTTTCTTTTCATTTGGAAACTACAGTACATACATAAATATGGGGAGGTACTAGTACCAACTCAGGCTTCCATTCAAATTTGCAGGAACTTCAAACGGGCTCTAGGAATCATACTGTGAAAACAGAGTCAGTGTGTCTACTGCAACACGTTCCATTTGTGCTACATGAAATATCGTCTCTCCACATGCTAAACTCTGAGAGATAAGCATGTTTCAAAGCCGAACTTCACCTGGGTTGCTGGGAACACAAAGCTTCTTTTCATTTGGAAATTACACTAAAAACATATACATAGGAAGGTAATATCTTCAACTCGGTTTTACACTGAATGCTGCAGGAATTTGAAACCAGCACTTCAAAACAGACAGAGAAACTAGAGTAATTGTTTCTCCTTCAACCTGGTCATTTTGTGCTAGATGAATGGAAATCTCTCCACATGCTAATTTCTGAGAGAAATTTGTGTGTGAATGACGTCCTTCACCTAACAAGTTAGGAACACATAGTTTCTTTTCATTAGGAAAGTGCAATATGTACATATATATGAGGTGGTGCGAGCTCCATCTCAGTTTTACAATGAACAATGCAGGGAATTCAAACTGGCACAAGGAATCAAAATTAGATATCAGAGTAAGTGTGCACTTGCAAAAAGTTCCCTTGGTTCTAGATTAACGAACTTCTCTACACATGCTCGGATTTCAGAGATAGTGTCTGTGAAATCCGTGCTTCACGTAGCATGCGGGCAACATACAGATTCTTTTTAGATGTAAACAACACTACGTGCATTTATTTGGAGAGGTAAAACCACCAACTCGGCTTAAGTTGAGAAGGCAGAAAATTAAAAACGGCACAACTAAACAGACTAAGAAGCCAGAGTAAGTGTTTCTCCTGCAACATGATCCCTTTGTGCTAGATGAATGGAAGCCTCTCCACATGCTCAGTTCTGAGATGTAAGTGTGTGTGAAAGCCGATCTTCTACTAGCTTGTTGGGAACACAAAGATTTTTTCCAGTTGGAATCTGCAATAAATACTTATATATGGGTAGGTAATATCTCCAAATCGGTTTTATAATGAAAATACAGAAAATTAAAGCTGGCAGTAAGAAACAAACTGAGAAAACAGAGTAAGTGCTTACACTGGAACACGTACCCTATTATCAAGAAGAATGAAAGTCTCTAAACATACTAAGTTATGAGAGAAAATTGTGTGGGAATGACGTCCTTCACCTAGCATGTTGGGAACACGAAGTTTCTTTTCATTAATTAAGTACAATTTGTACATATATATGGGGAGGTACTATCTCTAACTCAGTTTTACAGTGAAAACTGCAGGTTTTCCACCTGGCACTATTAAACACACTGACAAACACAGTAATTATTTCTCCGACAAACCATTCCATTTGTGCTCGATGAACGAACGTGTCTCCACATATTCAGTTCTGAGAGATAAGTTTTTGTGAAATCCGTCGTTCAAATGGCATGTTAGGAAAAAAATATTCTTTTCATTGGTAAATTATAATAGATATAAATATATGGGGAGATTCTAACTCCAACTCTGTATTACAGTGAAAATTGCAGGAAATTCAAAGGGTCGCTAGGCAACAAACTAAGAATTCAGAGTAATTGTATCTACTGCAGCACATTCCCTTGTTGGTAGTAGAATGAAAGTCTCTGCACATCTTCATTTCTAAGAGATAATTGTGTGTGAAAGCCGTACTTCACCTAGCTTGCTGGCAAAACAAAGTTTGTTTCATTTGGAAATTACAGTACTTACACATATATTGGGAGGTACAAGTAAAAAATTCGGGTTTACGGTGAAATTTGCAGGTACTTCAAATGGGCTCTAGGAAGCAGACTCGGAACCCAGGGTAAGTGTGTCTACTGCAACCACTTCCATTTGTGCTAGATGAACGATCATCTCTCGACATGTTTTATACTGGTAGATAATTGTGTGCGAAATCCATCCTTGACCTGGCTTATTGGGAACACAAAGTTTCTATTCATTTGGAAATCACAATAAACACATATACATGGGGAGGTACTAGCTCAAAATTGGTTTTACAGTGAAAGATGCAGGAATTTCAAACAGGCACTAGGAAACAGACTGAGAAACCAGAGTAACTGTTTCTCCTGCAAACCGTTCCTTTTGTGCTAGATGAACGAAAGTCTCTCCACATGCTAATTTCTGAGAGAAAGTTGTGTGTGAAAGACGTCCTTCAACTAGCAAGTTGGGAACACAAATTTTCTTTTAATTAGGAATGTACAATACTTATATATATATGGGGCAGAACTGCTCCATCTCAGTATTACTGTGAACACTGCAGGAAATTCAAACCGGCCCTAGGAATGAAAATTAGATTTCAGGGTGTGTGTACCACTTGCAACCCGTTTCCGTGCTTCTAGTTTAACAAAATTCTCTCCACATGCTCGGTTTTTAGTGACAACTTTCAGTGAAAGCCGTGCTTCACCTAGCTTGCTGGCAACACACAGTTTCTTTTCAGATGGAAAGAACACTACGTACATATATTTTGGAGGTTCAAACAACAACTCTGCTTACAGTGATAATGCAGGAAATTAAACCTGGCACAAGGAAATAGACTGAGAATCCAGAGTAAGTGTTTCTCCTGCAACGCGATCCCTTTATGCAGATGAATGGAAGTCTCTCCACATGCAAAGGTCTGAGAGATAAGTGTGTGTGAATGCCGTCCTTCTATTAGCTTGTTGGGAACACAAAGATTTTTTCCAGTTGGAAATTTCACTACATACATATATATGGGCATGTACTAGCTACAAATCGGTTTTACAATGCAAATACAGAAAATTAAAACCGGCAATAGGAAACAAAATGAGAAAACAAAGTGCTTCCACTGGAACACATACCCTATTTGTAAGATGAATGAAAGTGTCTAAACATACTAAGATCTGAGAGAAAATTGTGTGGGAATGAAATCCTTCAAATAGCGTGTTGTGAACACGAATCATCTTTTCATTATTTAAATACAAAACGTACATATATATGGGAAGGTAGTAGCACCAACTCAGTTTTACACTGAAAACTGTAGGAATTTCAAACTGACCCTATGAAACACACTCAGAAATAAGAGCAATTGTATCACTTTTAACACTCTCCCTTGGTGCTAGATGAACGAATGTCTCTCCACATGCTAATATCTGAGAGATAATTGTGTGTGGAAGCATTCCTTCCCTAGCTTGCTGGCAAAACAGTTTCTTTCAGTTGGAAATTAGTGTATGTACATATATATGGGGAGGTACAAGTGAAAAATTCGGGTTTACAGTGAAATTTGCAGGAACCTCAAATGGGCTCTAGGATGCAGATTGGGAACCCAGAGTAAGTGTGTCTACTTCAACACGTTCCATTTGTGCTAGATGTACGATCGTCTCAACACATGCTTAATTCTGAGAGATAAGTGTGTGCGAAATCCGTCCTTCACCTGGCTTATTGGAACACAAAGATTTATTCGTTTGGAAATTACACTACAGAGATATACATGGGGAGGTACTGGCTCCAAATTGGTTTTACAGTGAAATCTGCAGGAATATCAAACAGGCACTAGGAAACAGACTGAGAAACCAGAGTAACTGTTTCTCCTGCAAACTGTTCCTTTTGTGCTAGATGAGTGAAAGTCTCTCCACATGCTAAATTCGAGAGAAAGTTGTGTGTGAAAGACGTCCTTAAACAAGTAACTTGGGAACACAAAGTGTTTTTTCATTAGGAATTTACAAAACTTATATATATAGAGAGAGAGGTGCTAGCTCCAACTCGGTTTTTCAGTGAATAATGCAGGAATATCAAACCGACCCAGGAAACAGAGTTAGAAATGAGAATATTTGTATCAGTTTTAAACCACTCCCTTGGTGCTAGATGAAAGAAAGTCTATCCAAATGTTAATTTCTGCGAGATAAATGTGTGTGACAGCCGCCCTTCACCTAGCTTGCTGGCAACACAAATTTCCTTTTCAGTTGGAAATTACAAAACGTACATATATATGGGGAGGTACCAGCACAAAATCGATATTACACTTAAAATTATAGTAACTACAAACAGGCTAATGGAAAAAGCCTGGGAACCCAGAGTAAGTATTTCTCCTGCAACCCATTCCATTTGTGCTAGAATAAAGAACCTGTCTGCACATGTTCATTTCTGAGTGGTAACTTTTTGTGAAAGCCGCTCTTCACCTAGATTCTTGGGAACAAAATTTTTTTTTGCTTAGAAACTACCCTACATAAATATATATGGGGATGTTCTAGCTCCAAATCTGTTTTACACTGAAAGCTGGAGGAACTTCAAACCTGCACTAGGAAACAGTCATAGAAATAAGAGTAAGTTTTTCAATGTTAACCCATTCCCTTCGTGCTAGATGAATGCACGTCTCTCCACATGCTAATTTCTGAGAGATAAGTGTGTGTGAAAGCCGTCTTGCACCTAGCTTGCTGGCAAAACAAAGTTTCTTTGCAGTTGGAAACTACAGTACGTGCATATATATGGGGAGGTACAAGTACCAACTCAGGCTTCCATTCAAATTTGCAGGAACTTCAAACGGGCTCTAGGAATCATACTGGGAAAACAGAGTCAGCGTGTCTACTGCAACACTTTCCATTTGTGCTAGATGAATGATCGTCTCTCCACACGCTTAACTCTGACAGAAAAGTGTGTTTCAAAGCCGTCCTTCATCTGGCTTATTGGGAACACCAAGGTTCTTTTCATTTGGAAATTACACTAAACACTTATACATTGGGAGGTAATAGCTTCAACTCGATTTTACAGTGAAATCTGCAGGAATTTCAAACCGACAG